TCCCTCTATAAGCGGACGACGTGCGAAGTCGCCAAATACATCGAAAGGAAGCAGGGAGGACTCATTTTCACTATCCCCCTATGGAAGATATCAACACCACCAACGACGAACAACTCCGAGAGCGAGAGGGAGCGAGATGCCCTGAAGAAGTCCCACTCCATCCAGGGGAGATGCAACCTGCTTCCGAAACGCACTCCATCTCCATCACGACTGCGACACGACGGATGTGAAGACAGTAGATAAAGGACAAAGAGAAGCACGATGGAAGGAGAAACAGCCAGCATCCCAAGGTCATGGATCGATGGACTTGGACGTCAGCTACAACTGGTTGAAGAAGGGACTGCTGAATGCCGAGACAAAGAGCAGCATCCTAGCCATTCAGGACCAGTGCATTAGAACTCGGAACTACGAGAAGCACATCCTGAAGCTGGATGTGGAAGACCGCTGTAGATGCTGTCATGGACCACCTGAAACGGTTCACCACCTCCTCAGTGCCTGCCCCGTACTTTCCCATTTTCCCATGTACTTTCACATTTCCTGTGCGGAAAAAACATCTCCGTGGTGACCTGTCACGCTTTCCACTTTGAGAACCCCTGAATTTGTGAGTCCTGTGAGGTGAGGGAGATTGTAAATGGGAAAAAATTAAAATAAAAGGGTTAAAATGAAAAGGTCGGCTTCTAGAGACATATGGCCTGCAATCGAAAAAGTTTAGCTCCTAATAATTAGCGGTAAACTGTTGTGAAGCACGTCAATCATAATAGCAATCTTAACGCGAAATAATACGAAATCGGGATTCGGGAGAAGAGAAGCAGAAAACTCCCTTCGTTGCTTCTAATACTGCATTCTTGTTCTCCTAACTTAATGTTTAGATTTATATTGTGTTAGCACAAGGGAAGAATAGGTCCCTACTTCTTGCCTCCATCATCCAAGAAAAGTGAACTAGACCTAAAGTGCGAGGAAATATAAAATGTAGGAGATCCAAATAAACCGAGAAACAAATTCAAATGCATCAGATACGCGGAGATTGATCACCATTGCTGATCAAGATTGATTAGGATCAAGCCCAACAACTAAATGAAAACCAAAAGGTCACGAAAAATGGAATCACAATGGTGATTGAGAAAACAACAGAGTTGCAAGGTGAAATGATGAATAGTGGACACGGAACAAATGTCCCAACTTTCAGGTGAGTGCGGGCAGATGATCTCAATTGTGATGAGGAACATTCCATGGTTCGATTGTGACTCTTGAAGAGAATACAGTTTCTAAGTCATTTAGTACGGGGCACGATGTGGATGAGATGTGCAATTACGGTCTTCGTCCAGGTGCCATTCCACCTTTCTTCCGAAAAGAGGCGACTGAAATTTCTGCGATGAAAGCCAGGGCGGCAATGCCAAGACCGACTCCTAGGAGCAAGAACGGCCCCTCAAGATGTTTCATGGTCAAGATGACCTTCTCCTTCTCGCTTTCCAATGGTCTGCTGGAGTTCCTCAAGGCATCGTTTTTCCACTTGTCGAACAGCCTTGCCTGCTCCGCCCATCGAAAGTAGCGATCGAATGACTCCTCGATGCAGCTCTCGTTCTTTAACTTCCAGCTCAAAGGAAAGCAAAGCATTTCTTCGGTGCTCATTTGATATCTGGGATCGGTCGTGAAACCCTCTTGTTCAAAACAGCTTTTAGAGAAGAAGAAGGCTAAGCCTTCCCTCATGGTCCCGGGCAATGGAATGAGTTTGTCCCAGTCGTCGTTACTCTAGTACATGATCATTTTTTCCCCGATCTCTTGAAGATCGGGTCTCGGGGAATCCTCGAACATTCTCCTAATCCCGACTACATCTCCGTATCCGATAGACAGGTAATCAAACTTCGCTTCCATGAGTTCATCGACGGTGCGCACGGGCTTGGTCGTTGGAGGCTGAATTTTCGGCAAGAAATATGCCCCCCCCTAAAAATAATTTGGAATTTTTGACATTTGACATTTGAGATCAATGCGTCAGCATTCACGTTCTTGCCAGGGCTTTCCATGTCTCTCCGTTTCAATGGAGCAAAAAGACTATTTGAAAATATATTCCCCGAAAAGATGTGCCCCTATGGCATGTATCACCAAAGTAGAATTTTTCCGGTACTCAACATACGAATAGCGACTTAGGTCAGTCAGCTACTCATGATCCTATATATCATATATAATAATAGTATAGTTTTTTCTTTACTCAGCAATCCATCAGGTTCTTCTTGGCAAGTTTAAACTTTCTAGTGCCCTCTGTTTTTGCAGGATGGAGAGAATACGCCTTTTGCAATACATGTGCCCTCAAGCATTTGAACACAAAAGTACATTTTTTTCTTTACTGATATCAATCCTCAGAGAAACATGCCCACAAAGTTTCAACCTTATACGTTTGCAATTTTTGCTAGTGAAAAAACATGTTTGGCAAAGGCACCCAAAAGCTATGCCAGGAGGGGATGCACCATGAAAGCTGAATATTCCCTTAACTGAATCACATCATGTCGCTTATATGTGTGCCAAGTTTCACCTTTCCATTTCTGTCCAATTCGCGACAAACATTTTTTTTTAAACATCGCCATTCCAAAAAATTCCCCCACGGGGTGTTTCGCGACTTAATATTTTTCTTTAACTCCTTGTCTCAGTTGTCACATTCATGCAAAGTTTCATCTTTCCATGTTCATCAGTTTAACCGATGCAAACAAATTATTTGAAAACATCTCCCTTTGAAAATTGTGCCCCTGGGGCATTAACTTCCAAAGTCTGAATTTTCTGCATGCAGCATCTCAATACGTAGTTATGTATCAAGTTTCATCTTTCCACACCATCTCAATACGCCAGGGTAAAAAAAAATTACGTGAAAACGTCGGCCCCTAAGAATATGTCCCACAGGACATGGATCTTAAATTTTACATTTTTCTTGAACTCACCGTCTCGGTAGGCATGTCCATGCCAATTTTAAGCTTTCCATGGCTCTCAGTTTTAATAAAGCGGAAATATTTTTGCGGAGGGGGAATTAATTGCAAGGAATAAGAGGCCTAATGAAAGCCTAGGAACGGCCGGGTAGTGAACCCGGGGTCTTCTGGTTACCAGTCAGGTGTGTTACCACTACACCACCGAACCAAAGACGTAGAGTTATTCCTCTCGAGGCCACCATAATCCGTCACAACATATATCTTTAAAAACTCCTCCCCCCAAAATGTGCACCCCCAGGGCATGTACCTCCAAAGTCGGATTTTTTCAGGACTCTGCATCCCAGTAGGTACATGTGTCCCAAGTTTCAGATTTCTAAATTCTCTAGAACATGGTTAGAATTAGCGTCAGTCAGTCACTCACGATCGTCTATATATATTAGATACCGATCCAGCCCCACGAATACACTATCGTTCATTAGTAAGGTAAATGCCTAGATTTGAAATATCTTCAAGTCACTCGATTAATTAACTTTAAAATAAACAAGTATAAAACAAACTAAACAACTTTAAAATATACAATATTTCTTGAATATCCTTTTAATCATTTATGTCTGTATTGAGACAACTCCACCAAGTCAGATGCTCAAGAGAATTTTTCTTTTTGCTTGTTTGCTGTGATAGAATTTGGCCAGGTGTAATTTCCACCACCTTCTTATCTCCCATAAATCGAGCATTTTTCTTGATCGAAAGTATTCCTGGGCGATTGGCTAAACTATTTAACGAACCCTGATGGGGTACACACAAATAATCCGAACGGTAGACATAAAATGCAACAGCCAAAGAATCCATTGAATCGAGGTTGATTTAATGTTGACACTTCCACCCTGAATGGCGCAGCTTTGAATCAATGTTTTGTTAATGTGGGTGTATAAACAGTGACAGTCGCCGCGTTAAATCAATGTTGATTCAACATAGAAATATAAACCTTCAATAGTGATACATTCGATCCACACCAAATCAACGTTGAATCAATGTTATGTGCTACCTGGGTAGTCACACTAAAGCAACCTCAAGCAGACACTTTCGTGCATTAGTAATTAGATGCCTCGATCTGAGGCACATTAGATGCCTCGATCTGAACATGTCTCAAAGTTAATCGATTGATTAGTTAAACATAAAAAAAAACAAACAAGAAATATGTGAGACAACTCCACCATGTTAGCACGCAAGAAATTGTTTAATTATACTCTAGGCGAATATTCCATTTCTTTGCTGCGACAAAATAAGCGTCATTTCAGCCACCGTCTTATCGGCACTAAATGGAACAATTTTCTTGATCAAGATGCATTCTGGCCAATTGGCTGAACTATTTGACGAGCCCTGATGGAGTACACCAAAATATTCTAACGCTAGACATAACACACAAGGGATTTTGTACTGCAAAAGAATTCATTAAGCCAATGTTGGTGTAATTTTGGCAATTTCATGGTGAATTGTGCAGCATTGACTTGATGTTGGATCAATGTGGGTGCATAAACGGTGACGGTCGCCGCGTTGAATCAATGTCGATGCAATATGGAGGTATAAACCGTTAACAGCAATAGACTCAATCCGCACCGAGTCAACGTTAATAAATGTTATGTGCTTCCTGGGTTGGTTGTACTCGGAGTCGATCTCATACGAATAAGGTTCATGGGAGCGTACTGACAGTTTTAACATTTATCATTTACTTTTCGACGCACCAGCTGAAGTACCACTTGGCCCACGATGAAATCACAATTATCTCCGTTCCGAGCTCTACAGGGCCCATTCCATAACGTTCTTCAATAGCTACTTTGAATCCCACAATTGGGCTCTAGCTCATGTCTAACTGATCCCAGCTTCAGCTCTTTTGTCGAGTACTTATATTAACAACAATTTCCAATGGCAAAAATAAATAGGTAAAAAAAATTAAATGCTTTTCCCCAATTTTCAAAGATTACAATGCCTTATCTTATCATAGGTGCCCTCCATCTTCCACATCAACGCCACATGTATGAGTTATATACCCTAGTATATTAGATAAAGATACCATATTATAGAGATTCAGTCCGTGATGGTATGTGAACTCGATCGGGCATGATGGGCAACAAAATCGTAAGGCAAAACATGGAGAAAACATATCGCATTCATTTTGAAGGGCAAGAAAAAATGCTTAGGATTTCAGAAAAAGCCTCCTTACGGGAGGAGGTGAAGCGAGCTTTCAACATACCCAAGGAAAAAGAGATTCATCTTCAGGTCAAGGACCGTTCGGAGGCAGACGAGAAGACTATGATCTGTGGACCTGGTGAGCTTCCAGATGGCCCTGCAGAACTCCTGGTGATTACAGTTGCTTACAAGTCGCACTTTTCGCAAAGCGCATCCCTTCCTGCTCCACCTATTCAAAGGTAATGTAGCCAATTCTGATTATTCACGAAGTAAATATGACAAAAAATATTCTGAACAATAGTTTTAATGTTAAAATTTATGGTACACAGCATGCACCATGCAATTTAGACACCATTTTCCGAACATGATGTACAGGGTGGCCCAAAAAATTCCGCCCCCAATTTTTAATTGCACATAATTCAAAAACTATTGAAGCCACAGGCTCGAAAAACAGCAGCAATTAAAGCTTGTTCCTTCCTCTTTAAAATAGTCTATAGGTTCATTGTAATACGTGCCATGGCATGGCCGCCATGGCCATTTGATTCAACCATGACTGAAAAAGAAGTTGCAAGGTCTTGCTACTGCTACAGGCGCCATTGTTTCTGTCCTGCTGTGAAGAGGGAAGACACAATTCAATGGCTGGCTACTTTTTCACCCTCCCCAGTCATCTCTTCCTAATACCACATCATTTTTATGCTGAAACGTGCATGAACAGCCGACCAGCACTCCAAGCTTTCAACAGAGAAGCGTAGTTCACTTCGCATTGCGATCCTGCAACAACTATGTTTGCTCTCTCTTCCACGAGAAATTGCCTTGTGCATGCTTCATCTGAGCGTCAGTTTTCACTTTTAATTTAACTTTCAATTTTTTTAATTTTCTTCCTCAGGGCCAAAAATGACAAGTGTCTACCGTGGGTTATCAGAAAGTGATAAGGGTGGTGTGAAGCATCCACCCGAAGTGGATGCTTCACACCTACTAGATAAAGTCATCCAAATCAAGAGGAAGTCCTTATCATCTGACTTCAATTCTATGGAATGAAGGCTCTACGTGTTTATATATGTCATGTCAATGATATATAAGGCAATTCCAGTCTCCAACAACATCCTCTTGGAAGCTTTAGGACGTATTCCAGAGAAATTGGAGCATTTGTTCATAAATTATTTGAGCAAAAGTTACCAGGAACGAATTTTGCATATATTTATTCGCCTCAGTTCAAAAATATTGCATCTCAATTTTCCTGAACACATTAATTAAGTCAAATCGTTGAAAATCACTGCGCAAAAAAGCATTTCACATTATTTTGCATTGAACAATATTTAGAAGAACGCACTAGAAGGAGCTAGGCGGAAAGTTTCTGGCAGAATGCTGGGTGTTGAATTTATCCTGAGATTTGGCATATTTATTAATTGAGCATTTCTAAAATGACGTAATTGTATACCTCCACTTTATTTTCACTTTCATTTTCATGTTCTGTTATTATTTAATGATTCTTTTCAATCCGGAAAATGGTAATATCTGGGCCTCTTACGTCAATATATGGGACTGCTCATGAATACTCTTTATCTGAACAGGAAATAACCTTATCCACTTTATCCATGTTGTCATCCAAGGAATGTTATGATGGGGAAAGCGATTGTAAATTAACATCGAAATGATTATTTGGACTCCACTGTCACAGCTGAAGTGATCTCCTGAGGTGGATGGCAGCTACACATTTTGAGAGATGGAAAATTTGGACTCTGACCACTATCTTGTAGGGTTACACGGCTTTCCCGATCCTTTCACTAAATGTATTCCTCATTCAGCATCTCGTTTGCATATCATGCCTATTCCGAAGTTGTCTATGGGCAAGTTTGTTATACTAATCTTGAAAATCCGCGATTTAGGAGCGATGAAAGATTTGAATTGCTGTTAACAATATTTTATGACAATACAAGTTTCAATTGCATAGCATACATAAATATTTCGCATCATTTAATAGCTGAAATCTGAGATCAACTCGAAATTTGAAATTTGATCGTGAGAGTCTTCCGTCCTTCAACAAATGCAAATGATACATGTGCATCAGAGCCCCCCCTGCGAAGCAGATATGCATAAAGATAAATGAGGACTTGCAGGTTGCAGAAAAAATCTGGTGAGACTTGTTTCAACTATCCATATTTCAATAACCTTATTAGTATGCACAGTATACCTACGAGAGGTTGACTAGACTTACGTGTTGCTGTTAATGACCAATGCGGTCAGTCTATCATTAACCAATGGATTCTTATTTCCTATGGATTGCATTTGAGTAGCTATTTCAATGTCAATATGAAGTCCACAGATGAAGTCCACAGAGTCGCGGGCAAGAAAGGGATGCGCGATGTTGAAGAGAACGGGCAGGCAAGGCAGCAGCGCCGATTTGAGCGTGCCAGTGATGATATGCATAGCGGAATTCAGTCGCACTTCACACATACTTACTTGTGGGCTTGAGAACCACACAACGAGCAGTACGCAGCTGTAGAGTACTGCGAGAAGCGTTTGGGCATCCGCTCCCAGGTTGATCCGATATGTTTATGGACCAAATTAGTCCTGCCTTTCAGTTTCTTGCCGAGGTTTTGTTGCGTTGCCGGAATGATAGGCCTCGATCCAATCTGATACGTAGATAGTTGGGGTTGGTGGAGTGATTCACCTGGACACCACAGAAAGAGACATTTAGGGCTCGGTGTGCTTGGTGGTTCAGATGAAATGTCGAGGTCACAGTCTTCTGTGGGTTCGACCGAAGTCGCCGGAGGTGGAAATTGGCTTCCGTCTTCAGGAGGTGGTTTATCGGTGTGTTTTCAGCAGCGGAGAAGTTTGTAGTTTGCGTTATCAAGGCGAGGTCGTCCACATTCGCACATTTCCGAAATGTAGTTTCTGGCATATCGTTGGTGTACACGTTAAACAGTAGGGGGTCAAAACGAAGCCTTGAGGGGGTCTGTTGCTCAGTATCCGGTACTTGCTCTTTTGTGTACCAACGATGACACGGAAGTGGCGATGACACATTATGCTGCTGAGCTGGTGAAAAGCTTGCGCAACAAGCCATGTTTATCCAGTATTATACGCCGATGTCAGGTCCAAGAACGCCGTGGCCGTCTTAAGGCGGTGTTGAGATCCTGCTTCGATGTGTGTTGTTAGCGCCACTACATGGTCGCGACAGGTATGGCCGCTTCTGAGGTCCGCTTGCTCCTTTATAATGGTGGCCTCGATGACAGGGGTGAACCTATGGAACAAAAGTCGCTCCAGTACTTTGTAAAGGGTGCAAAGTAAGGAGATCGGGTTGTAACTTGCGACTTCTTTGGCTGACTTTCCTGGCTTAAGGAGTGCGATATTTTTGGCCTCTCTCCATGCAACTGGAATGTTGCCAGATGCCATTACGTTGGAGAAGAATGTGGCCAGTCGCCTTCTCGCTTTTGGTCCAAGGCCGTTAAGGAATTCCGGGAAGATGCAGTCTGGTCCAGCTGCCTTCCCGGCTTCGGTTGGTGCGAAGTCGTCGTCTAATTCCATCACTGTGAACGAGTGGAGATTGCAAACGACTTAGGGGTTGCATCAATGTTGGAGATCTGCTGCAGTTTAGCTTTCCAACTGGTATCCTTGTCTGTCGGTGCCTTTGACATTTGCATCAGGAGAGATGCGATGGTGTCCGTCGTGATGTTCGGTTTGGATTTGTGGACCGGATTTACCATGCCGAGCTGTTGGAGTAAAACCCGTTCTTTTCCGCTGGAGTGGGAGTTTTTCTATTAGTGTTTTCAATCTTTCTCGGCGGGATGAGTTTTTAATGACTCGAGCATTGCAGTAGCTATAGCGGGGTTCTTGTTCCGCGAGTATTCCCTGTAGAGGGGTCTCCTTCTTTTCGGTCCAGCAAGGTGTGTACACCGTTCTGTACCCTCTGGGCATACTGCGCTTTCCTGCCGCTTTTATGATGCCAATGAACCTGTTGAAGGAGTCCGAGTTCGGTGGCACCCCATTTGATGTTGGCATCAACGGTCTTTTCGACGGTTTCGCAATCAACTTTCTAAGAAGTTCACCTTGGTTTCGGCAATGATGTCATGGCTGGGATGTCAACATGGATTATTACGGTTGTTTGGGAAATCCTTAAGGATAGTTCTTCAGATTCTGTTGGGTTTTCCGTGGTGATCTTTTGAGAGTGAGCACAGGTCTGGTGTGTACTCCCTCTGGCATCTTGCATAGTGAAAGGTATCACCTTTTGCATCGAGAGTAGGAATTTATCCTTGTGTGATGCCTATTCGGCGATTGTTCCCCGGCTTCGTTGTAGCTTCCATAGCCACACGACGTGTGGTGACTATTAAAACGTCCCAGGTAGATGACGGAATACTGGCTTGATGAAATTGGTGGGTTGGTGCACTGTACGAGTGGAGATTTTTATATGTTGGTGTTGCTGAATGAAAGTAATTGATCTCTTTTGCCGCTCTTGATTCTGCATTTTATATGAATTCCCATCGTAATTTTCTGCGTTGCATCTATTCAAATGCTATAACGTACGACAATAGTATTGTTCTACGACGTATAGAATACTGCGACGAGGACATTGCAGAAAAAGTAGTCCTTACGTCCTTATGGTAGAAGTCCTTATGAGAGAAAGCAGCCCTGAAACTCCATCTTACCCATGCGCGGAAATGGTACATTACATTAATCCATTTGCAACTATTGTCAATATCTATTCAGACAGCCTAAGTTAATTAAACTTTCAGATAAGAAATATTGTGGTGTTTTAAACGTGAAGCAAAAATATCACGAATCTAAATGATCCACAGAGCGTTTTATAAAGCGTCAAACAGGACTCGTTATTTTTGCCACCCTGCATATGTATCGGTTCGTCACAGTCTGCCATTCCCATGTTACAGGGTGTTCCTGCATTACAAACTGCAATGAACACAAACAGGTCACTGTTGCCACGAACATTCTTTTGAATTTTTTTTTATCGATAGCGATTTGGTATAAGACTCGATGGAGATTGCTTCGAAAGTATACTAGGTGTACCTATTTAGGACGATTCATGATACACCTTTCCATTCCTCTTACAAAATTTGCTAATTTTAATGTTTCCCATTTGAATTCGTTCATCTCCAGAAGCAGGAAAAAAGATTGTTCAAAATTTGCTTTTGCAGACTTCGCAATTGACGCTAGAACAACCAATAAAAGTTTCCACCTGGATGGAGGTTTTTGAGAGTCCTGTCAGAGTTCAAAGGAAGTTCAGTCGATTTTTTTTGTGCCAAGCCTGATGCCAAATGTATTTATGTAGGCGGAGGGAATCCTGAGGCCCTTTTAAAACTCGGAATTGCCTCCATTTTGGAAAAATAATTCCAAGTGACATGCAGTTTGCAACATGCAACATTCCGTTAATTGTACTTCTTTTTGTGCCGACTGGTATTTTTTGAAATGTTATACTGCTTTATGGGACACCCTGTATATTGAAAGTGGCTTTTTACGTTTTTACGCTGTCTACTGAAAGTTGGCAAAGTAAGCAATCATGTGAAGGATTTATTTTATCCCTGCTCTCTTTGTTATGTTCCAATGAACTCATGTCTTTCAATGTTGATAAAATTTTCGATATTTGCACTTTTTAAATCTCACCTCAGTAATTGTTATGTGTTGGATTAAAACTGATTTTAGCTTTTAAGTCGAATTCGATCAAATAAGCGCCAGCTAATCATTTTTCTCAATGTTTTTTCTGAAGAAGACAGGTGTAAAAAAGGTCTATAGGTACAGAGCCTTGCAATAATAATTTAGTCACCTACTGTCATTACAATATGTAATTGTAATGCGAGAAAAGGCAAATAAAGACAATAAAATAGTGAGATTCTATCATTTAGTTCTTAGTTGAGTCAGATTTTGCTACACAAAGAGCATCCAGCCAGTTTTTATCGAATCTATGAGATTTTGTATCACGGTCTAGTCCAGGTTCCCCTTATTAGCGCAAGAGTTCCCTCTAATTCCATGATACAGGTGGGACTTGTGCCAGTTTTCGAGGTCCTAGCGCTCCTGCAATTTCTCGATCGGATACATATCTAGGCTTTGATGTTCCCAGGGAGGATGTTGAATATCTTGATTCCTCTTCTAGACTGTGGTCACACAAGAGGTTAGGCATGTTGTGCTATTTTCTTGAAGAATAGGGCATTAGAGTTTACTGGGGTAAAGGAGAAATATCGTGGGATTCGCCTGTTTTCAACATGGTGAGAGTATACGTTGATTATCAACTCACTTGTGAGTTAGACATAATCAGACATGAAATAAGAAAGGTTGTATTGGGAAGGTTCATTTATAAAGGTGACTAAATTATTGGTTCTACAACATAATGTCGAAATGCACAATGTCGTCGGATTTTATGGCGACTAACAAAAGCGTCGAATGCCACAAAATGTTGAATGGACAATGGTCGAATAGGCAAAATGTTGATTGTTACAATACTGAAAGGCGTCAAAACGTGGAAAAACTTCGAATCTTCAAGATGCTGAAATTCGGTTATTCCTTTCTGTTCCTTGGGTGAAAAGTGAGGAGGTGGATTTTTGAATGCCACATGTTAGCGATTATCATATTTATAACCGCCAATTACTTTGCCTTTCTTTCTGGACCCTGGACCAAGTGCAATTTTCCCGCGTTCGGCTTGACGTCTTTTCATTGACGGAATAAATAAAAGTCCATTTCGACTTTTCTCTCATTCGACATTTTGACTTTCACCATTTCTTTCATTCTACGTTCAGGAATTCGACATATTTGGTGATCGACGATCGGACTGTCGACATGTGGGTTTTCGACATTTTGACGGGATAATAAATGATTATAGCAGGGCTCTGCATGGCTCCATTTTGATGAGGACTTCCTTGCCACTATCTAAAACTGAGGCCTTCAAATACCGTTTCCTCTTTCTTTCCCCCTTTTCATATCTCAAACAACTTAAATACTTTAGCATAACTGTGTCCTGTATTCTGTATGCCCAAAACTGTTTTGTATCACTTGTTTCGATGCAGAGAGACTGATTATGGGACTGCATTGCGACATCTAAGAGACGACTTCAAGATGGGAAATACCCTCGTAGACATGGACAAATTCCTGGATGAATTGTCAAAGAAGGATCTCATTACAATGGCAGAGGAAAAGGAATTGAAAAAGGTTAAGGAATATCGTAAAAAGATTGATGAAACTTTTTTCATCCTGCTCAATAAAAATCCTCAACCAACCTATCGGAGTGTTCTGTGCATTCTGGAAGAAATGGGAAGGGAAGATCTCAAGGAGAAGCATCAGACGAAGCTCAGTGAGTTTTTGCATAAAATTTTTTGGTCAAGAACAGCTCATTTTCAAATACGTGACTTGTTGCAGAAGCACAAATCTGGCAGGGTGTTTCATGTACTGCACTATTTCAGTGTATGAGACATGCGTTGCCTCGTGTTTCTGTATAATGTGAGAAATTTCAATAAACATTTGACCTAGCTGGTACTGGTCTGCGAACAATTGAAATATCTGCAGGTTGCCCAGAGAGCTGAAGTGCGTCTTTGACAGATCATGTACCAATGAACTCGAATCTCTCAGGATTACATAATTGGTTTAGTCAAATGGAGAGCAGTAATGGTGGAGTCATAGGAAGCTCCCTGACTACACACATTCTACTTATAAGCTACTAGCGGGTTTGTTTGCCCTTCAGGCAAACAATCTCGCTATAGTCGTGCCTTCGGCGCTCCATTACCTTGGATAGTGATTAATTCATTTATTATTCGCGAATTGGCAAACACGTATTTAAAGTACATCCCCATTGAAATACGTGATTTATGGGGACGAAAGTCTTGATTTTTATGAAAATCATGACTTCTATGATTTCTAGTGTGCCTAACTTGAAATGTTTTCTTGTGTCCCTATTTGTAAGAGTAGAGAATACATATTGAAATACCTCCCTCCTATAATCAACGCTAAGGAGACATATTTCAAAAGTAGGATTTTTCCTTTACTCCACCATCAAACAGGTACTTCTCAGGGAAGTTTAAATTTTCTGTCTCTGTTTCGTTGGATAAAAAAGAATCAGGAAAATGGGACTCTAAAAAAAGGGCCCTAATGGGTTTTAACAAAAAAATATTTTTCATTTGTAATATAGAATCAGGAAACTCCATGCCACCCAGTTTCACCCTTCTACGTTTCCCCTTTTATCTGGCGGGAAAAAAATATTTGGAAAAGCGACCCACCCAGAAACTGTGCTCTGAGGAGACGCACAAAAAAAGTTGAATTTGTCCTGAAATCAACATCACGTCCGTTATGAGTGCGAAAAACTACTTTTCTAGTTCTGCCCGATTCGGTAGGATGTGAAAACTTATTTGAAAACGTAACGCCCCCAAGAAATATAAACAGCAACAATATTTTGGAAATTTGACGTTTGACGTTTGAGCTCAGTGCTCAGTGCTCAGTGCGTCAACGGTCACGTTCTTGCCAAGTTTCAGTTTTCTGTGTGTCTCCGTCTCCGCAAAGAGAACTATTTGAAAAAATTTTCCCTGAAAAGGTGTGCCCCTATGGCATGTATCACTAAAGTATAATTTTTCCTGAACTCAGCATGCGAATAGCTACTTATGTCAGTCAGGCAGCTACTAATGATCGTCTATATCTAATAAAATAAAAAAATTTTCTTCACTCAGCTATCCATCTTTCATTGGTTTTATCTGCCCCACATTGTACTCTGTAGTAAGGATCCCCACAGTAACCGTCCTGTTGTCCTCACGATACGCTGCACTCGCATCCCACCACCGTTTTTGTGCAAGCTGGTTGTTTCGTCCCCAGTTTGCCAGTCCTGCAACGGCAGGTTTGGAACAGTCCACTAGCCGTGCTGTTTCGGAGATGGAAGCACCTACCCTCCTGGCGCCAACAATCAAGTCTCGTTCAAGTCGCGCTCAAATCAAATCAAAATTCGTCAAATTGCGGCCTTTTCACATGCTGTTCACTTACAATACTTAATGGTAGCTGTACCCACTATCACGTATCAACTGGTGACTGCTTTGGCCCCGATGTGCTTTTATTCCAATGGCACAGTCCATTTTCTACCATGGGGATGGGCATATTTCAATGTCCGTTGAGTGTATACTGAAGGACGTATGAACAATTTTTCGAATTATTAAATTGAGACGAATGCTGTGAGGAATTTTCTAACCTCTAAGGAGCTGACCACCCAGCAGATCATTCAGAGACTGAGAGTATAGAATCCAACTGACCCTCCTCTAAAAGATCTGCTGGTTGGTTGTGTTCCTTAGAGGTTAGAAATTTCCTCACTGCATTCGTCTCAATTTTAATACTCAGCATCCCTTCTGTAGCACATCGAAAAAAATTCATAGAAGCTATACTTAATCGAGAAATGAGATGAAATTTCGCCAGTCACCATGAAAGACATCTGTCTTCCCATGATAAGAGTAAGAATGGTGCATTGAAACTGGAAGTGCCTTGGTTGCAGAACTTCTTGACATCCATTCGTATATCCTCTAGGATATGGGATGAGGGAACTGGGAAGTGACATTCATCTCATTTTCACATATGATCATGGATTTCATGAAACTTGAGTCGCATGATTTTCCTTGCCTGATGTCAACCATTGACTCATTTTACCTAATTGCTCATTTTAAGTCGCTGTCCCCTACGCCATTCGAAAGCTGATTTAACACATTTTCCCTTTACTTCAGAATCCAATCTGCAACATATGATTCTGAGTCAGCATTGACTGCAATGCTGCTATCACTCTCCACGAGGTGCGCAATGACAGAGCGATCAGATTAATGTTTTGAATTTTTGTGTTTGAACGGAAATCCTAATTGCTGTAAAGCAAAGCCTGGCGCTGTAACTCTCTTTGATTCTTTGTCAAAAATAGGGGATAGATATTTCTCAAGAGCTTGAGGAAACCACAGAAAACCATGAAGCAACGACTTTAATATATTGTAGAACACCAGGACTATCAAATTGCTGTTTCGCGACAAGAATACCTCCTCACGAAGCTTTCATCTCTTTGCTCTGGCATCACGCACTCGGTGTGAAGTGATAGGATGTGAGCGGTCAAAAAATCCTTCTTGTTCCTTTTCGGAATTGGAAAAAGAAGATCTCAAGGTATGCAAGCTTTCGAGTGGGACTACACCTGCTTGCGTAGGATTTAAAACTCAGGCTGAAGATGGGAGGTTATTGTTTCGAGTCACCCTGTACAATGATGAGTCATGTCTGGCCATAGATATAAAACATGTACAAATAAGCTCTCAAGTCAGATATAACTCGTTTTCTCTTACCTTCATTTAGTAAGAAGTGAACATCATGTCTGTTATGAGGCCTTGTAATACCTGCTGATGTTTTTCTCCGAACTCATGGATGAAAGGTCAGCGAAAGGATTCCTGTATAAAGACTCGCCGCTCCAGCTTCATGAAAATCCACCAGGTGGCAGCACCACTGCATCTGTCCTAAATATCGGCTGTCTTTGATTTGCGTACTAACAGAGAGCTGAGTTCTCTGGGTTCTGACTTTAAGGAAGTTCAACTTTTGGGATACATTTTCTGGGGGCCCAATATCATGGAGAAGCGTTTTGGACAGCACCGTAGGAAACCCTTTGTTGGGGTCGGTGGGGGCTTCTCAACATATTTATTGCCTAAACTACAATATGCGATTCCTTCAGTTACGCCGTAAAAAGTACCCCCTCTAACCCCCCTCTAACCCAGGAAGTCCCCATTGGGGACTTCCTGGGTTAGAGAGAAGTAACTTTCTTCATTTAAAGTTCCTGAACTAGGTTTGCCAGTGATGTCCTATAACGTGGGATTACCATTCGTTACCTCAACAAATGTTAGCTTAAATTGATAAAGCTTTCAGGTGTGAACACTGAAAGTACACGTTTCAGATTTACCTACTTATTCACTTCATAAAGCGCCGAAGGCGCGAAAATTACGAGTTCGTTTGCCCTCCACTGGCGAACACTCCCGCTGGAATATATGAGAGGATGTCAAATGAAAAGGGACATTCTCCGTTGTTGCTCATAACGCTCATCTAATTAATTCCTTTGAACCTTGTTTCATAACTACGATTTCCAGCACTGCCCCATGGTTTCGCACGTCTGATGCTACAAGGCGTCACTGAACAACTTATAAGAGAAAAATTGCATCAGTGAAAACTAAGTGCACCAAGCAAGTGCTCCATGATACGGTTTTTGGTTGCTGAAAATGCTTATTACAATGAAATTCACAGTAGACCACAGACAATTTACGGCGATAATTGGATTGGAAGGTCAAAAGTGCACGAGTGAGTTAGTAAGTTTAAAAGCGGGGAAATAAATGTCGCCGATGTCCCACGTCCGGGATAAGCTCATCGGTAATGACTCCTGAGAGCATGGAAATGGAAGACCTTGTGCGGGGAAATTGGTGAATAACCATCGATGAAATCGCTTCCCCAGTGAGCAAGAGTTATGGTTAGCTTTATCATATCGTCCGCATTAGGTTTGGCTATCGGAAAGTTGTGGTTCTCCGCATGTACATTTTTCTTTTGACTATCCCCAATTATAATACAAGTTTTTGTATCATTAACGGGAAATTCCTCCCTCGTCGTATCCGAGGGAAAGGGGCATCGATGGAAAGTTTGTTGTCTTGGAATGCTCCAGGACTCTTCTCGTTGTTTTGCGACTGAAACTGTAGGAGGTACAACAGATTTCACAACAGCCGTCGTTGAGGTAGTGGACAAGTGAATGTCTCAAGTTTTGTCATACTTGAAACCCGCAACGTGGGACCAGGGATCGAAATCAGGCGAAACAAGTTTTTACATTTTTTGAGTTTAGACACGTGGCGGGATAGGGATGGGAGACCATAAACCACAACCCTAGTAGCACACAACATTGAAACATCATGGATTCAAAGTTGATTCAACATTGGGATGTTGCATTAACATTGAATCAACGTTGATTCATTGTTATGTGCTACAAGGGAATGCAATTCTGTCGATGAATATAAAACATGAAAAAATCCCCAGTAGTGAGGGTCAAACTTGGTTTGTGCATCCCTGAAGTAACCATGAAGTAGAGTGTCACAGGACTTCCACTTTCGCAGTCTCTAGTGGTTTACTTCCATCCTGTCTTAAAAATAAAAAAATATCGATAGGTTTGCATCCTCATGAGTTTTTTCCCCTAGAGAGGACGATTGGGAAGGATGATGAATTCAAGGACGTACCAAGCAGGATTGAGAGTGCTCAAGCAGGTAGGAGACTTCCAAAACAAACAAGGTCTTTGCAAGTGAATAATGCATCTGACGACATGGATACCGTCGTTGGAGGGGAAACCCCCCATTAGTAAGTAAAAAATAAGAATATCATTTACTTTCAATTCAGAGTTCGGAATATCGCTTTTGCTTTATTTTTGGGTTCGTGCAACATCCTGATAAGTAAAAGTAAAGTCCTTCAAATTTTAAATGGAGAAAAGATTCCTGAAACAGAAACTAAAAGAACAATTATTGTCATAATTTTGGACCTTACACCTTCAGCTGAAACCCAATAAATATTTTAAGGGACTAGTTGTATTTCCTTTGAATTCGTATTATTGTCACGTGGTGTTTTTTTGACGCAGTTGAGTAGCGTAGTTGGGTTGAGTATTTTATTTTGCCGCTAATTCTAACGGGGAGAGCTAATGCTAAGGATCGCGTAGGTCCATCTACAAGCCCCAAGTGAACAAGAATTTGCTTGGTTGGGAATGGAAAACCAAGGGTTACTATCTGCACAAGATTTCATAGCTTTATAACAAAACATCCTCCGAGTGAAGGAGTGGTTGGAGCACGGAGATACGAAGGATCCGGGAAGTGAAGGGAGGCACCCGAGATGCACTGCCGAGAAGTGGGGAAAATGGCAGGCGAGAGTTGCACTGCCGAGATGTCGAGAATATCTCCGATAATCAGCCGAAATGGTCCCTGCAGAATATCCAGAGAAGGAGGGCTCCAAGAATGCCCAGTGAATTCCCGGGAATGCCAATGAAATTGGAGCTACCTCCACTATTCAAAAAGGCTTCGGAACGGAACTTTATTGGTTCCACGTTCCATTCCGTTCCACTTGATCCCGGAGTGTTCCGGTTTCTGTTCCGTTTCACAATTATTCATCATGGTCCGTTCCGATCCAGGAAATATTTCCGTTCCATTGCGTTCCGTTCCGTTCCACTGCTTAGGGAAAAACCTTAAGAAATATCTTTAATTGTATTGACAGCCCAAGTTTTTTTTAGATTAATCCACAGATTAATTTATTAAAGTATTAATCGCGATTTACAAAATTAGTCTTAAAAAATCGACACACCAATCTCCTCTTTTTGCCTCTTTCCCCCCCAAATTTAACTGTGTAACTCATAGTTTTGCAAAACAACCGAAAAAGAATGCTTTATCAAGGGAATAAAAGGTAAGTTTAAAAAAGGCTCATAAAAGCAAGTCATTTTCGCACTGCTCATTGTTTCTCAGAAATGAAATACTTTTTTTTTAAATGGGAACACTCAAAAGCAAAAGCCATCGCTTTCAGACAATTTAAAAATGAAGCTTCCTGGCCTATTTGTGCGCATCCTGTGTCGTTTCTCCTAGCCTATGGCCTAGAAAGGCCCCGCGCGTCAGGCTAAGGTAGCAGAGGCCTAGGACGAAGCAATCGAAATTCACTGGATGCGAATGGGAAAAAGAAAATCGTAATGAAGAAGATGCAGGGAACGCGCAGAAGGAATATAGAATTTGGACTGGGACATGTGACAGGAGAGGCAGGAAATAGCATAATGTAAAGACGGGAGTGAGAGCCATGCGCGTAACTTGCTCCGGCTAACGTCTGTGAGAGTACCCAGAAAGGAACCGTGGGAGGGAGAAAGCAGGAAACAGGCGAGAAAAGAGGCAACGAAAGAGTGAAACCCTCTTCTAAGTTTTGCTTTTTCTGTTCTTTCATCCTGTGTTGAATGTGAATTGATAATGAATCTCTAAATCTCCACGTAATGAAAAGTCATTGTACACTTCCAAGCATATGGGTTACATTTTTACATCCTTCCGGGATGGGTTGGGTTCTTTGCCTAAATTCCATGATTTATCTGGCCAAGTTGTAATTATTCTCTCTCCGATTGGAATATGTCACATGTTGATTGAACTAGTGTGTGCATGTATAGTACCTGCTATTAGCGACTACATCACCTTGACTCACTTCCTGAGGCTGACCTAGGTGTTGGGCATGACACTAACAAAATCATACCCTACGTCTAGGACATGATTCAAAGGGGAGTTAAGTTATTGATCAAAATTCGATTAATCGACGGATTAATCCATTCAATTTTTTAATCGATCGGCATCCCCGCCCACCCAAAAAACACTCACAATCATGAATTCCAAGTTAATTTTGGGAATGGAACCGCGGGAAAACTAAGAAACGTTACTCTTCCTTCGACACTATTGCAAAGGAAAAGATGGTCAAGGAACTGGACGGAACGAAATAATTTCGTTTTCAGGAGTGAACAATTTTGTTCCGTTCTGGTTTTTCGTTCCGGTTTTCGTTCCGTTCCGAAGCCCTGCTATTTAAGGGGAAAGCTGGCAGAAGAAAGTAGTCCTTCGGCCCAAGGTGATGGGGCTGGGTTTATGAGCAACCGTAAGTCAACTCTTTTTCGTTCAAAAGAATCTCAACAATCGACTCGCGAGGTCAATTTTGGCCATGTGGGTCCTTCTCGGGGTCCTCAAGGAGCAGCGTGCAAACATGAAATTTCATGTCCCGTAAATGGGTACCCGTTTTTTAAATAGAAGAGATGACATGGAGACGGCATACATTTGAAACGTGGTGATAAAACAAATAATGTGTTGATGAATAATTGAAAAATACTACTTTTTGAAGTGCCCCCCCCCCCCCCCAGGTCGGATCATGAGAGGGATGTATTTCAGGAATTCCCTTTTCGCTCTGTCAAAGAGGGGATGGGACAGAGATCAGAAGTTAGGCACACTAGAATTCACCCGAGTTATGATTTCAGTAAAATGTAGAGTTTCAAGATCTGTCCCCTCTGGCACAAATTTCGAGAAGGACGGACTATGAATACGTTCCTTGCCCAATCGAAACGGGCAATGATTGAAGGCTGAAATTCAATATGAAAGCATCTCTGAGGACCTTGCAACGTATATTCGTTATCTTTAAAAATAAACAGTTTGATTTATCCCCAAGGGAATTCTTTAAAGGGAGTGTATTTTCAGGAACATTTTGCACATTTTGAACAAAGAAATCGTGAAATACAGGGTGTCCGGTAAATCGGTACCCATTTTTACTTCTTACGTATTAGAAGCATACATTATATTTCAGTTGAAACTTGTATTGAACATTCGCAGTATTCTCTGAAGTTTTGTTTAGTGCTCAACACTTTCATAAACTTCCATACACGCCGCTATTTTACGGCTTTTTTTCCAACTCACGTACCCTGCCGTGGTTCGCCTTGAAAAAAGTGAATTGAAAGAGACATGTTTAATACTAAAAAAAAAATAAAGATTACTTTAACCGTTCCATATAAGTTTCAACTGGAAACTTGTGCATCCCTGTTGTACTTAAGAAATTAAAATGGATACCGATTTACGGGACACCCTTTACATTTACACGTATCAAAATCATTTTATTGGAGACAAATGAGGCAAATTATGTATTTGGGCATGCTGCAACAGTATATATCGCCTCAGCTTGATGTTGACGGCATACCGTTCCATAACATACATTTTTAGCAGGTCGGAGCTCCTCTATACTAGTAAATTGATGTCCCTAATCACCTCGATGAGGTCTTCACCAGCAACTGATGTTGCTGTGAAAGGACCTTCACTGTGGCCGTTTAACTCTCCAGCACACTCTTTCTTGGGATATACTCTATAAAAGGCAGGATGCTGCAAAGTAGACCTAATCATTTGGTCAATTAGGAAAAGAAAAATCATTATAATAGTTGCCATTATGAACCTCGATATGGTAGCTAAAACCTAGACTGAAATATCCTGTCGCACCATGTTGTGTCGTGGACGTGCAGGTGGTCATGTTGAGGTTGCATGTTGCGCAAAAAGCCTTAATGACAATTGTAAGTATGGTACCAAGTTTCAAGTCCCTAACGTACCACGTATACGTTTTGGCTTGTACAGTACAATAAATTATTTTTGAATACACCTTCTTGGATCACCCTGAATATAAATAAAAAAGAGATCCACGCACTGACATGAAAGCTGAAGGGACTGGAGCCAGCGCGCTAAATCTATAAAGGGAAGTGCGTTGTCCATATGCTTTCTTCAGACTCCTTGTTACTGGAAATGAACAGTGGTTCCACCTCCACGAACCGGAGAGGATGGAACAATCCAAGCAGTGAAAGCATGTTGACAGTCCCCACCGAAATAGATTAAAACATCAGCAGGTAAGCTAATGGCGACAGTCTTCTGGAATGGAGCGGGTATTCTTCTTCCAGAAAGACTTCTGGAGGGGCAAACCATCAAGAGTGAAAATTATACGAGCGTCCTGCGAAAGCTTTAAGGTGCCATAAGGTCAAAACGCACAAGGAAATTGAATAGACACATTCTGTGGCAATATGAAATTGCAAAACAGCATGCCAACTGGCAAACATCGAATGCCATTGGTGATATGGGTTTCAAGGTGCTATAACCCCCTCTGTACTCACATGACCTGGTACCAAACTATCAGGTTGTGGAAAAAGTACAGTCGGTTTTTTTTGCCGCAACTTTGAAAGTCCATATCTCGTCACAGAATCAACTTCATTCATCGAAGTAAAAACCGTTAAACAACCTTTTCCCAACGTTCAACCAGTTTTTTTTTATGCCGGACTTGAAGAATTCGGAGTCTCTGGACGCGACGAAGTCATTGAACTCCTTTTCGATCTCACCCTATTTGGTGAATCGCTTCTCCCGCAAGAAATTGTCTAGGGATCGAAAAAGTGGTAATCAGTGGGGGACACAGGGTGAATATGGGGGTGGGGGAGTGCCTCATAGCCCAACTCCTTGAGCTTATGGGTAGTCATCTTTGCAGTGTGAGGGCAGGTGTTGTCGCGCAAGAGGAGGGGGACTTTACGGTTGGCCATTGCGGGCTGTTTCTGCAGCAAATTTTTCGTCGTCGATGTCAAGTTGGTGACAGTAGACTTCGGCAGTGATAGTGTTACCAAGTTTGAGAAAGTCGTAGTGGATGACGCCAGCCATAGACCACCAAACGGTAACCTTGACCTTCCTTGGGTGAAAGTCGCGTTTCGGCACCTTTGCTGGCGGGTCATCGCGGTTCACCCATTAGTCCGAGCGTCGAGAATTGTAGCATGTGATCCATTTCTCATGGCAGGTCCCGATTCGGTCGCGGAACGGCTCATGCTTCTTCCGCAGAAGCAGCGAAGTGCAATTCGCGCGCCGTTGCTTCTTTTCACTTTCGTTTCTTCTCGTTTTCTTTTCGCTCAATTCGTGGGGGATCCACTTTTCGAGCTTACGGACCTTGCCGATGACCCGCAGATGGTTGGAAACGTTCTTGACGTCAACGTTGAGGATCGTCGCGAGTTCTCGGACCGTCTGGCAGAGGTCAGACTCAATCAACGACTTGAGGACGTCGTTGTCGGCGATGGTGGACGGCCAGAGCGTGGTTCGCCTTGAAGGCTTGTGTCACCCGAACGGAACCTTTGAAACCAGCGCTGGGCATTGCGTTCCGAGACGGAGTCTTTGCCCCATGCTTCAATATTGTTACGGGAAGCCAAAGTCGCGTCATGGCATTGCTTAAAGTCGTAGAAAGGGCGCACCCGGATTTGCTCCGCTACCTTTCTTAATGCGAATGCCGAAAGACGACGCAAGTGAAGCATGATGAAAATAAAACTACATTCACATGATACACCACAAAACAAGCTAAAATTTGATATATAACACGTCGTATGAAACAAGTGCACTGACGTTCAGTGACCTTTCGAAGTTGGCACTCCAAAATCCGACAATACTTTTCCACAACCTGATAATGACCTTCGGTGCCATGAAGAAACCTCTCAGGGGACAACGTTTTTCAAATATTCAGGGGCTCGGATCAGCTGTGCAACAGAGGGTTCGGTCTACATGATTCAAAGAGAGCCTAAACAAATTTCCAGAACTTTAGTGCAAGTGAGTGTCAATTATTAACTTTGCTGAAAAAATAGTAACCCCTGCTTCATAATAAATCATTTATGCGGCTTCAATTGAAAAAGTTATAGGACTTTTTGAACATCCCTCGTAAATGAACGACTGATAATTTTATTATTTAAAATGGCAAAATGGTGGACAAATAGCAGGAAGGGCATTTTTCGTTTTCTATCAGTCAATGTTTCTCTCACGGTTGGTTTATACCTTCGAAATTCGCACCCCCTCCCCAGGAATGACTTGCCAGCTGGAAAGAAAGTAAAAATGGAATGAAATCCACATCTTCAATAAGCGAGATTGTGTTCTCTACACTCAGGGAATTGAAGCTACAATTTTGCAGATGCGATTTTGTATTGAAAGGAGAAGAAGCGTGGCAAATTTCTTTCTTTTAGAAGCTTTCTGAGGGGAATACAAGAGGTAGAATTGTTTGACCGAATGGGGTTGAAGGAAGATAATAGGTACTACCAAATCTTATTGATTATTGGTCGTTCACTATTCTGAAATGCTTTGCACATATCTACTTTTGCCCATTAGGATGAAACTTGGACAATTTATTTTTTTTTAAATGGTATATTCACATTTGTAAGAACTTCTATTTCAAAATGTTCATTCTACGAGTATGTGTGCCCCCACAACATATGCAGTCCGGATTATCAACATGCAGAGACCCATCAGTTCCATTGAAGCAACTATGGGAGCATCTTGGAAATTAAGCCAGTACTTGACCGAGGGCAGGTTTAATTGTCTTTGTCGCAGAATATGTTTCCTAGCCTCCTTTGTCTCAACAAACTTTCATGACACCGATTCCTTCATCTGTCTTCCTTTTAGCGGTATGAAGGGCGCAGACGTTGCATCAGTTGATAATTCAGACGCTTCCAGCTATGAACAGGTAAATTTTGAACTTCTGTAGTATTAATTAGTGATTCACCATCAAGGACGCATGTGTTAAGAGTCACATAATGTATCAAAAATGCGTATCCTTTCCTTTGTTAAATATGCGGTCGAAAAAGAAGACGAGGCGAGGTCAGTTTTTTCCGCATTCTCTGCATTAATTCAACCATGGGCGAGCTATGCATCTTAGAGCTACAGCTATTTCAAATATCAAGTTCAGAATTGATTTTGTGGACAATCGTGCAAAATATATTTGGTAAATCTGAGAGAATATTCTTATTTTCATGTTGTCAAATAATAAGTATGGATAAGAACGATTTTAACTGAAAGGATACTGCAGTGTCGTAAAAGTCTTTATTGACCTCAGTAAAAGGGATTTTCCAGTTTTGAAAATGGCAATGCTCGAACATGGAGTTCCCTTAATTTATTTCAATTTACAACATTCAGTAGCAGTATTTTGCAGCAGTGGGGTGGGGATTTCCCAGTGGTAGCAACATCTACAGGGATCTTAGATCACTCTGTTGTTCATGGCAATACAAAGTTATTGACCTTTACCTCAGTGCAATAGCAAATCCAATCAATAGGTAATGAACAATTGAATCAAGCGAAACACAAAAGTGAAAAGTGAAATAGCCATGTGAAATTTTCAATTTCACATGGCTATAGTCAGACAGGGAGTAAAATAATCACATCAAAGCGTGAAAAACATTGCCCAAATTTATTTTGGTAGATCGCAGGGTTTACCTTGGGGTACCATTCCAAGTATCCAATGGTGGGTAGTACTACTGAGAAATCTTAACCCCACCAGCTAGAAAATACAAGCATGCTGAAAATTGAAATAAATTGAGGGAATGCCATGTTCGAGAATTGCCCTTTTCACCACTGAGCCTCATGACATAATCGGACGCTGGACATTTTACCCACGATTTGAATCAATTAAACACAAGAATAGGATACTCCCAAGTTATTAGAGTATCTAAACCCATCAAAATACTGCACTTCACTCACAGTATTTTTTTTTCATGGAAGGGTATCCGTTCCAGTATTGAAAACGTGATGTCGGGGTCAATGAAGTCGTTCCCCCAACCCAGTGCCAGAAGAAATTTGGAATCACCAAATGCTGGGATCACAAGGTAAGTTTGATTGATCTTGATGTATCTAAGAAAAGGATTGCCAATTGCACAACAATATAATTGTTTACATGGTGCTAACAACATCATTAAATGAAATTGAAATAGTGTGGAATGAAACCCTCAAAAGAAAAAAGCAAGCCTTCGAAGAATAAGAACTTTATGGAAGACATGGCGTATATGTATACAAATTGCAGCACCTGAAGACCGATTCTTACCTGGATTTTACTTCTTTAATGTGACAACCGTGAAGGAAATTAGTACTTAGAAAAATCATGTGCACTAGAACCCTTCATGAATAATTTTTTAAAGTACTTTTCCACTTTTCTCATAGTTTTCACTCAAGAACGCAAGAGTGAGAACAAGAACTTCTCCTGGGAAGCATAAAATATGCACCAGCAACTCCCACATATAACTTCCAGGAACATTCCGAGATTCATAATATTATTCACTAGCTGACCCATGGAAGATTTACACGAAATTCCAGTCGGGCCTAAGCCGGAGGTGTCAAACTGCCGGCCGGCCCACTAGAAAATATCTCTTCAATAGTTTCTTTGGGAAAAGCACAGACCCGTTAGAAATCAAATCTTTGGTGCAAAATTTGCTAATATGGATCCAACCACCCTGACCTGAAGGGTTCCATCCAGCCCCCAGCTAATCAAGTTTGACATTCCTGGCCTAGGCTAAACGTTTAGCATTTTCGAGAATTCACGAGTTTAATCAGCGGCCCCCTTAACTCTCTTCTCGAATGGTGCTAATATTAATAATAAAATCTCTGTAGATATTCGGCGTCCGTCTCACGTCTCAATTCATGCTGATTCTCAGTTTCTTCATTTCTCTTCCTTCTGTCTGTTGTTAAAATTGTAGGTTTTCCCGCCATATATATATATATATATATACTAGCGAGTTTGTTGGCCCTTCGGGCAAACAAATTCGCTATGGTCGCGCCTTCGGCGCCCTTTTACCTTGTATTGTGTAATCACTATTCATTCATTTTTTGCGAAATGGGAAACACGTATTTAAAGTACGTCCCCATTGAAATACGTAACATATGAGTTCGAAAGTCATGATTTGTATCAAAATCAAGACTTATATGATTCTATGTGTGCCTAAATTTAAACCTTTTTCTTGTGTCCCATTTTTTATGTCTGGAGAATACATTTTTGAAATACTTCCCTCCAATAATCTACGCTAAGGAGATATATTACAAAAGTAGGATTTTTCCTGTACTCAGCCATTAAACGGATACTTCTGTGGGAGATTGTATTTTTTGTCTCTGTTTTATTGGATAAAGAAAAATTCAGAAAAATGGGACTGAAAAAAGTGCCCTGATGAGTTTTAACGAAAATTTGTTTTCCTTTGAAATATTGACTCAGGGAACTCCATACCACCCAGTTTCAGCCTTATACATTTACCCTTTTTGTTGGCGGAAATAATTTATTTGTAAAAGAGACCCACTCAAAAGCTATGCTTTGAGGAAACGCACAAAAAAGTTGAATTTTTTCTTAAACCAACGTCACGTCCGTTATGCGTGCGCCAGCTACTTTTATATGTCTGCCTGATTCGGTAGGATGTGATAATATATTTGAAAACGCGACGTCCCCAATAAATATAAACCAAAAAATATTTGAAAATTTAACGTTTGATATTTGAGCTTAGTGCGTCAACGGTTACGTTCTTGGCAAGTTTCAGCTTTCAAGGTGTCTCCGTTTGAAGCAAATGCAAATGAAGCCCACGGCGCACTGGAGTGTGATAACCAGTCAAGACTGAGCATACTCATGAGGATGGGTTGCCTTAATGAGCCCCATCCTCCATCCTCCACCTTGATCACACCTCGTGGTCGAGACGATATGAGAACTCCATATAGGCCAAACGTTACACGTCCTCTCTGAAGTGGTTCGTAAATGTCGAAATAGGCTTGCATTCAGACGAGATGTCTTGAGGACCACGAGAAGGACCTACGTAGCCAAAATTGACCTCGCGAGTCGAGTGTTGAGATTCCTTTGAACGAAAAAGGGTTGACATACGGTTGATCTGAAGACAATCGGGATAAGACCTTGGCCTAACGTTAGTGTGTAGTGTTCAAGGCAAAACATATAAACGAACTGTGAAACTGAGGGAAAATACTGCGAAAGAACCTATAAATAAGAGGGTGGAGTTATAATTTGGACGGTGAAAATAAGGTGTTAAACAAGAAAATTGTATTTTATAAGCAAGGCACTTCATTCTCATTATTCCATTTTCATTTGAAGTTCAACTTTTTGGAATGGTGGAGAAAGCTAATATAGCGTACAAAAGTACTTCTCGGTAAGACAATTCCTGGAAGCAGAAAATCTCCGTTTGCCAGCGAATAACACCCTATAACGGAAAATAGCTTAACACCTCATGGAAATTTACCCCTTACCCCAGGAATTTACTTACATTTGTCGAAAACGGATTTTTCAAATGAATTAATCACTTTTCTGTATCATTAAAGGTGGTTTAAAAAAACGCTCTACCTTTTACACAGGGAAACACAGTTTCCTAAATGCGGTAAAAAAAATTACAATGGATACGCGATCGATATTTGACAGTTACAAGGTGTTGAAATGCTTGCAGGTTTTTTTCACCACCCCTGCCTAAGTCTTGCAATGCCCATTTAGAGGTGAATTGAAGTTTCTTGAAGGTGGATCATTCCATCGCATGTTCTTCTTCTCATCAGGTTCTTCCTGTTCTCAACTGTTTCAGATTTTAATGATTTTTTCATTTTAACTTTTCAGGGATCTACAGTTGGATCTTGCTGATACTTGACACAGAGATTCATGAGTCCAAGAGGCTTTTTCACTTCCGCAAGATGGCACTGTATCCGAATAGAGAGCGCTGTTGTTGACCGGGTGACTAAAGGTGCATTCGAGTGAACAAAACCTGGTAGACTCATGAGCCACTCTGTCTATTATCAGCTGGATACAACTGCCCCTCGAAAAGTTAGAGTTGAAAAGATAAATAAAATCTGAGTCAGTTGAGCACTGGTAATCACCTCACTATGGCTGGAATATCCCAACTCTAAGCACCTTCAATTCACTTCTACATGGGCATCGCACGACTTTGGCGGGGGTGTATGGGAACAGCTGGCAAGTATTTCAACATCTCGTTGCTGTCAAAATCGATCGCGTATCCAATGTTATTTTTTTCTGTATTCATTACACTGCGCTTCCCCCCATAGAAGACGGTGGAGCGTTTTTTTGTAACCAGCCTATTGACCGTCGAATGTGCGACACTAGCGAAATCATTCACTCAAAAGGCAAACAAACTTGTCCATATTTAGTTTTTGCCCAAATCATATCCACCTGCGAAATAAATGAATGTTCGGTAACAGGTAACCGGGTGAGAAAGTTAATTCATAAAACTGCAACAGGAATATATGATGGTATCGGGTTCATGTTGCAAAATTGACACCCGCTCGAGGATCAGGGGACATGATAGTTTAAGGTGAGGTTAGTAGCGCACTGGCATAATCCCTCTTCCTGCGATCTACTCCATACCATGTCTTCCCCTTTCCTGCAGGACCAAGCAGCATCCCGGCAAAGCCGTACCCCGCAATGCGCATTCTATTGATTCAAGCACAACATTTAAGAAGGTAAGCTTTTTCCTGTTATATCCTCTAATCTAAAAGCGTCATAAAGGAAAATTGTTCTTTTCATTCTAAATGTACCATATTTGACTTAGTGGAACGTAAGGTCCTTTGGAATGAATATGGCTCTAAAATGTGAAATCCTGTCTGAAAGACCCATCAAAGTCGAATTTGACTTTAGTAATTCTGAGATGTTAAACAGATTCAGATCTCCATTACTTAATCCCAGTAAGGCATAGAGGTAACTTGGGGGAATATGGTCATTAGGGTAATATGGCCCTTCACAGTGAATTCCCCTACATACTGAAGAATTAGTTTGGCCGAATTTAAAAGATAGTTCTAAGAAAGAGTACACGCAATTGTCGAAATGTTTAGACCTGTTCATTGATCCAATTCTCAAAGGAATTCGGGATACATTGATGTCTTGAAAGTCATATGCATGCGATTATTTGACTCATGACCCTGAAACTAATATGAGCCTTGAACATCTTCAGCGTATATTTCCTGATAGCAGCATGGATGCAGAAACCACTTCTTCGAAGTTCTTCAATGGTCCCTCCGTAATGCTTGTGCAAAGTGCTAGCCATGCGGTTTCCAGACAGTGTTGTCAATCTTGTCATGCAAGCCAATATGGGGAATATGGCCATCTCTATTTGGGGTAATATGGACACAGTCAATTTCATGTTAGCCCCGCAGTGACCTATTGGTAGTGTCAGCGTTCTTTCATGTGGGATCTTAAGGTTGCAAAATATCATCAAGTGCACTTCCTCTGGATATACCAGGTATGGATAGACGTACCGCCCATCTGGACGAAATCTGCAGTACATGAGGAGGCCGTGCATAAAGATATGCTCATGCACCGCCTTCTGGACATACGCTTCTCCTGACATATTCCAGAAATATTTCCTATCACGAAATTTGAATGCAAGTAAATATCCTTCGTAAAAAAAGTTAAAAGGCTTTCCTGTGATTTGTTTTCGACTATTTATCCATACATGCCAAAACATCCGTGTTTTCCTGCAATGTGAGACCACTTATTTTACACTCGTAGCGCATGTTCGCATTAATTTATGATTTATCACTCGTCTCACACCCACAGTTTCTAGATGCAGACTCCCTCTTTTTCAACTGCTGAGCCTTCATTGTTATGTTTCAAGGTACTCGGCATGTTCCAGCATATTTCACAAGCACATGGAAATGAGTTTTTTTTTTAGAAGTGGTGATATTCCCTCAACAATGTGGCTAATATAGCCTCTTGGGACCAACTTGGAAAAGATCCAACGACGCAATATCCATGTGGTTTTTAGCATATACCTTTCTGGGATTTAGTAAAGGAGATATGAATCAGTATTTTAGAAAGATTGTAAATGTCAAATTCGACCTTGACGGGCCGTTATGACCAGATTTAATTTTGTACGGTCATATTCCCCAAATTTACCATATGCAATAAAACACATGGGTTTTTCCACATGTTGATCCCATCCTAGTTGGTCCCAAGGGGCCATATTACCCCCTTTGCTGGAGAAATATGACCATGCATTATAGGTAATGTGGCACCTTCTAAAAAAAACCCTAGGTTTTTTAGTTGTGTAAAATTGCTGAAACGTGCTTAGTACCCTGAAACATAACAAAAGAGACAAAGCAGTTGGAAAATGCATTAATTGACAAGAAGTTGAAATAGTCATCTGACTCTAGGGACTGCTGTGACAACGCTTTTAATTATGAGAGCATTGCACGTGATTGGAGGTGTGTGTAGAATCTGTTGCGTGTGGGAGTTGATGCTATTAATGCGTTGTTTAGAGGCGAGGGTCCGGCGCGGCAAACTCAGCAAGAAAACCCCGAGGTGATTAAAAAGGTTTTACTAATTATGATCCCAATTGGCTGAATAATTTAAATCACAAACACAATTCACTTCACATGAAAAATTAAGTGTCTCCCCCTTTTTCACTTCCTCCTCAGTCCACCCAGCACCGCACCTGCTGCCTTCTCGTACCCCTCTCCCCCTTGTTCCGTCTCCGCTTGGAAATGTTTTTTGTTCCATCGGAATGAGGGATGCGCGTGTATCCCATTGAAGAGTCCAGCGTCCTGGGTCCTGTTGCAGGGGTGCAGCGACGAGTTGGCCTTGTTCCATTAACGAGGCTCATTTCCAGGCCATCACGTTATGTCACAAATCTATGGGTCTAAGAGGAGTGAGAGATCGTAGTGAACAGAAGTTCTAGTGTGAACCAAGAGGTCCCATGGAACGGGAAAAACGTTGCGCAGCTTTTCGCATAGATACATACAGTGATGGCATAAACTGTCCTAGTTTTCCCCACTTTCGACTTTGTGGTACTATAACTCTCCATCTAGGTATGGCACCTGAAACTCAGAAAGCAATTCTTCTTATCTTTTATGAGACATAGGGTGTGTGCTGCGGAAGACAACACTCTAAGCAAATTCTTCAAATCCACCTTTCTTGCTGGTTTTCGTAATGGAGCTTCCTCGTTCGTATTGGGCCTGGAGATACTTTATTATAAATCCTCTTGTACCGCAAACCTCAATGGCCTCAGGTCTTTTATTTCTGAGTCACTGGGTCAAAGGTGAGGTTGGTTCCGATGTTGGCAATCTCGGCACACTTGCTGGTATAGTCGGCACCACCTTGTCGGGAATCTCGTATACCTATGTATCACTGTCGTTTACAACAGACTCAAAAAAGAATACATTGACCTGGTAAAACAATACCTAGTATTGAAGAGAAGAACGGAATGTGCAAAAGCCTAGCAAAATCACAAGATTTCGCAGGATTTTCGGAGTGCGCTTAGAGAAAGTGACAACTGCAAGAAAATTACTACAGCAAATTTAACTGTTCCAAGCACATGTTAACATTAGTCCTACCATCTGAGAAAACTTTTCTACCCCTGCCTTGGGAATTAGCAGTGGAAGAAGAATTTATGAAGATAGCAAAGTGCCGAGATTACCCACAGTGCCGACATTCCCAGCACTTACCCTATAAGCTGCTAGTCTATTACTTTGTTATACAATGAGTTAAAAAAGACTAAATGAAGTTATCCATTAGGACAGTGACAGTCTTTTTCATTTTCTAAACCTATCACTAATATATTTCACTCAATTTACTTCCTGCCACCCATTAGCGTTGCTGCAACTCTCCTGAGCATGTTCTCAATTGGCTTGAAGCATTCTGTTTTGTGAATGAAGTTCCATTTGATTTGGACTCGCGACCACAACTTGCTCATGCGCCAAGGCCTTTTCCTGCGCGCATTCAGGCGCCTCTTCCAATTATAACACAAGTTATTCATGCCAATTCATGGTAAGGTGCTTGCGGCAGGCGATCCAGGAACATGACATTTTATTTCTGAGGCAAGATTAATGTTATTTAGTTGGTTGCCTTGGATTTTCTCCTTAAGGAAGAGGACTTGATCCACATCGAGCTGTAGTAATTTATTGTTCCCCTCGGATTGTCTTTGAGGATGTCAGAGTAGAGTTAAGGAGTGAGTCCACCATCCATTCCGCACAGATTCCCGATTGCATTTCGTAGTCTTGCATATTCAAACCATAAGAAATCCGCAACTGTGTTTGACAGTGAGTTGGACACGACGAGGTTGTAGTCACGCTTCTGGTTGTTTACAGTACCATTTCTATCCAAATCATTTGATAATGCTCTCGTCTACGTAAATGAATGATTCCCTATGGTCTACAGTCCAAAAATTTTATCTGAGAGCAATATTAAACCGAGCCTCCATGTGTTATTACGAAAGCACACATTTATTGACCATGGGTGTAATTTTGAAATCAATCTCGTGAAGTACGTTCTTCAACAATTATTAGCTGACAATAATCTTCCAGGCTGTTTTCAGCTTTCAGAGCATTTTTTCAGCTGTGGCAACAACACTAGAAGTAATTTGTCTCGTGATTTAGCGTTTCTGCGACAGTGAAAGCTTTCCTGAATGGCCAACCATAGACTTTAGAACAGGGGAAGCCAATATTTTTGCCTAACTGAGCCGCATTGCCCCGTAAAGGACCTCCTCCAGGCCGCAATACCTTTTTTAAAAATGTTTTTATTACCTTGTAAATTAGCAATAATTTTTGGGAAGCGCCGCGGGCTGGATGAACTGTTATCGCGGGCTGTAGGTTGGGCACCCCTGCTTTAGAGCATTGGAAATTCTATTTCTAAAGAGCGAGAAAGAGGATTTTAAAAAATATTAGGCATGAAGTGGTTTTACGCGTAAAACAGCCTTTTTCACCATGCTTATCATTTTGAGACATGAATTAAGGGAGAATGGCTTCATCTTTACTTCGATGAAGTATATCGGATGATATGTCTCCTGAATGTTCATAAGTCCAAAACTTGTCCCAGTTAAATTGCCGCGCATACTTGATTTTCATATGACACATCAAATTCGGGGTCGATTGATTGATTTATTGAGGAGTGAGACACGCATTGAGGCGCAATTGGAAAAAAATGACGGAAACTGTCCTATTGGATGAGTTTCATTTAGGCTGCAATCCCTCTGGATATAGGGAATCAATTAAAAATCGGCTTGTGTCAAATAAAAGATTGATAATAAAAGAATTGTTACCTAGAAAGAGTATTGAATTTCAGACACCATATCTAGTTGGAGAATTACGGCAGCACAAATTCAAAAGTAGGAAAAGTTATGAGAGTAATATCGTCCGTGAAATAAGTATTTTCTTTTTACATCACTGGATTACTTCTTATACTGTATTTTTCAGTTCAAATATATTTACCTGCATTCAAATATATTTCCGCAAATATTTCTGGAGTACTTGTAGCTGGTGTCCTGGGGCCATTTTCATGGAATTTATTAATTCTACAATTTACCAATAGTGCAAGTGTAGCGTCTTATTGTTTAATTATTCCAACTTGGCCCTTCGCATGACTACGATATGACCCTTGTAATTTCTCCTAATTTGTAACTTATGGACCTTCTAAATTCCATGAAACGGGCCCCTGGAGGCATCACATGAGGATATCTGCCACATGTTTC